CATCCAGCATCTGTATCGCGAGGTTGACAGACTCCGGTCGGAAGTACACAACAAGAGCTTCACCCTTGAACTTGCCACTCTCATCAGTGTACATCTTAATGCGCGGTCGGCCGCTATCAATTTCCTCGGCGATAACACCACACTTAGAGAAGACATCACGGATTTCGTCGAACTCAGCATCCAGAGGAATCGAAGTTACATAGACGGCGGTATTGACGCGCTGTTTCTTAGGCTTTTGTTGCCCATTGCCCTGCGCGATTACACATACCCTCTTTAGTATAAGGCCCATCTCGATGCCATTGGGGCCAAATCAAGGAAGCATCATCGTAGAACCGTTGGACTAACCTCTTCCGTAGAAGCCTGTTGCTTGCGCTTCTTCCTCAACTGCGCCGCAGTAATTTGTTCCTCCTCATCGACACCCTGGACCTTATATGCTTCTTGCTGTTGTTGTAGCAAGTCTTCATCGACCTGGAGGCAACCCCGGACGGGCGCAAAGCGGCGCCAACCAAGCAATCAGTTTCACGAACCAATCAAACAATCCCTGCAATAATAGACATCGTGTATATCGGTCTATTTGCAACAAGAGAGAAAAGGTTCCATAACCAGTTGAAACGCAAAAGGGGGAGAGGCGGGGAGGGATAAGAAAAGTAGAAACAAAAAATGGAAGTAGCAGCAGGTTCAACAGCTACATAACAATCACACCACCCAGCTGGAGAAAGAGCGCGCACACACCGTCGGAATCCATCTCTTTAGCACCGTATCATATTCAAATTCCTGTCCGTCCTCCGTTTCCAGAATGAACTTGTCGTCGAGCTTCGAGAACGAGATGCGCGGGTCGCTGTCGAATTCCGAAGGATCCTGGGGGAAGTTGCTTAGCGGAGGAGAACGGCCGTCGTCGTTCGGAGTAGGCGACGCCATTATTGTTGTACACGATAGACGATATAAATGCGACGGCGATCAGATATCGAAGCAGTAACAAGAGAGTTTATTATCTGAGTTAAGGAAAGGTTGGCTTGATGATGATGATAGGAATTAATTTGAGCTGACTTTCGGATTTGCGGGGAGAGAAAGATCGCTTTATGTAAGCTGCGACGGCTATTCACGTCATGGAGGGCGCGCTTAGCTTAGGCTGACGATTTTGGCAGCTTTACTTTGCTTAGACTACTATATCCTAGTAAATATGATGTAGTGAATATTCTGTCTTTCATAGGTGCGTTCCACGCGCTTACGGCCTTAGCGTAATTGTGGGGGGAAAGGAAAGGTTTTCCTGTTCATATTATCTGCATTTGTAGCTTTAATTCAATTGTAAATACGGGGTGTTTCTCTTATTGAAACAAAGGTGAACGCTCAAGCGCAATGCTATTCACAGTGAAAGCATTTTATACCAGACAGAGGCGCTAATTTAGAATGAATGCGGCAGATCACTTCGCTCAAATAGAGTGCGTTGCGAGAGTTTCGGCTATTAGGATTCTTAGGAAATCTCCGAGCTTCAGTGTGGATGGACCACCATTGTTGATAACGGTAGTCCGGCACAACATTAGAGAATAGAACGACGCAATCACTACAATGGGAGGGTACTAGCAAGCGTAGGCGACTGAAGCGAATATTGGCGCAAGACTTCCAAGGGCAAGGCAAGAACAAGTTCTTGATATCTGTGGGAGGCTCAGGAGGATTCACAGTGCATAAACTATCTTCGATAGTTGCTCGTAGATCATCAGATGCGACAAATTACGCCCCGCTAAGTAGATCAGCAGTTAACAGCGCAGTATGCGCTTTATAATATCGACTCAGCTTCGTCCAACGTGCATTCCAATCAAGTGAGGCCAGCTCCGCGCAAAGCTCAGTGGAAAGGGCACTGACCCCGTCGTGTGGTCTCCAACTCCTTCATAATGTCCTCCATACCCTGACGGCCCTTACCTTCGAAATACTTCGGGCCTACGTCGAGATTATCATACCCCTTTGGATAATACTTGTTCCCTTCGTCTCCCGGCAAAGGCCGACCAAGCACCCAAGTCAACCAGGCAACCGGACCCCAGCGGTTCCGGAAACTCGGCTCCACATAGTAAGGGGCAGCATCCCAGTTGGTCATGTAGACGCGGCCGTTCTTGTTATAATCATCGGTGTAGCTAACATACCGCAGAAAATAAGGGCGGGGTAGCGCGAGATACCGCAATACAAACCGACGAGCGGAGAACAGTAACGAGAACAGCTTAGCATCAAAAGCCGGAGGAGGGTCAATCCTGATAAGAGAATCAATAAGCGGTTTGTTCGAGCCCCTGGAAGCATTACACAAGACTTACAGCATGGCTTTCCGCAAGCGATCGTCCATCATGAACGAGACAAATCTCATCCCAATGAACTGCAGTGACTGGGGAAGCATGTACAGCAGCACTGAGATGGTCTGTTCGGCCACCTCACGGTTCTTGACATGAGGTACCATGCAACGAACCTCATAGTCGTCGCTCCAGGCTATCATTTCCTCCAGCCAATGAAGACCATCGCGAAATCCGGTTCTACCTGACGGGAGGGCATCATAGCTAATATTCAAGCTGTCGCCCAGACTTTTCCAAAAGGTCCCAATGGCACATCTCTCAAGGTCGCTCAGGTCCCGCCATTCATACCATTTCACAAATCTGACTGGCTGGATGGCGAAGAGGCCAAGTGTGTACAGCATATCATCTTCCAGGATCTTGCCGGAAGCGCGATAGCTGCTGTGGATCCAGCGGGTGCGTGCAATAGAAGTGCAAGCACGACGAGAGGTTGGCGCATGGCCTACGAACTCCTGAACTAGTGCTACAGTATCAGCGTAGCGTTTCAGGGCCGTGTCGGGCTTGGAGAATTGGGCTGTGTTTGTGAGCACTGTCGAGATGGTCGGGATGCCGTATGTCTGGTGCAGTAGTTAGTCGGCAGGATAGTCAAAGAAAAGGATAAGCGTGAAGTAGCCGGAATGTCACACCCTGAAGAGAGCAAACTGGAGTGATTTGAGGTAGAGGAAGGGGAACTCCAGCTGGACCAATCCTTTTTGTATCTCGCAGGCTTCATCGTCGGTCATGCGAGAGAAAGACTCTCGCGTCGTATAGGGGTATCTTTGATGCAGTCGCTGGAGGTATCGAAATCGCAGCTGTGAGACCAGGAACGCGTAGGCCGGAAGCAGCAAGCAAACACAAGTGACCAATTGCTGGAATCCCAAACCCGCCACCCGAGGGTCCGTGTTGGGGACAAACCCCAGGAATTTGCCCGGAGTGAGTTGTGTGCTGTTATCCATTGGTCGCCTATTATTACTGATTTGACTCAGTGGTCCATGCGTCGATGTAGAGCTAGTATATAGATAACCTTGATGATGGGCGAAGGGGACTGTAGGAGCATTTTTGAGTCTCTCAAGTCAGTCACAACTAAAATGAAATGATCTGCATCGGGGCCATTAGTCATAAATTGTGAGGGGCACAGATGACCGATGTGAACAAATAAATTCCAGCATCCCAAATTTGAAGATCGACAATGTACAAGGGAGTTAGGCACTTTGATCAGTGATAGATAACATAAATAGTATGCTCGAAGAGTTACTTGACTTACAACAGGGTGGGTCTGATGATGAGGATATTGATGATCCCCCGGGGTTTCATAACTAAGATCTGACTTAAAAGGGAGTATTAAGGTGTGGTTACCCCACCGTACTCCCTTCTCCTACCGTGGTTCACCTGACCATATCGATTTCCAGGCACTATTTATCTACATAGTACGTATACGCTATTAAATTTGTCTTATATCTTTCTGCATTTATTGAGGTCTTTTCTAAAACCATAACCCTCAGGCAGATTAGCATTGTCTGGCACGACATCCTGTGCCCGCGCGGAAACCCGACCATATCCATTACTAATATTGAACAAGTGATTGGCTTCAATGCTTTTGAATTCTGAGTATGGTAAAGCTGCACTAATAGTAGCATCCTTGCTTTGTGAACTGGGAAGCACACATATCTTTTGGTGTAAGTGCATGGAGCCTCGGCGTAACTCGCCGAGTTCTACCAAAGCCTAGTGCTCGTTCTGGTGGTCGGCGCAGCAATCGGTGATATGGTGGTACAGGCTGATGCTTGAGGCCCAGAATGTTAGTGCCCACTAAACTACTAGTCGTACACGTGGATTGCTGGTGTCGACGCCGAGCCCATGTTGGAGTACTCGTATGGTTGATGGATCTTACTTTGGTAATACTCAGACTTCATGTGTTCGATGTGCCGGGTAATGATGGCAGCATAGAAGCCATCCGACCGGCCATTTGAAGAGACAGATAGATAGCCCCGATGGGTTAGGATCCGGCAGGTGAGAGGGACTAGGTAGTTGCTTTGAGATCTCATTTCAGACTGAATGCCATCTTCAATGTAGCAACAGGGCTGTATGGCACCTGTAAAGCCATGATAGGGCTACCTGTTACTTCAGTAAGGGATGCTTGCAGGCTCTCTCCGTCATAAGAGCGCTCATACACTTTGGGGAATGCGATCTGGAACCTGGATCAGTCGCCCTTTTTTTTTTTTTTCACAAAGGCAACAAGCACTGTCAAGATAGTCGTCCTTCACTCCCCTACACAATCTCCCCTGTCGACTAAGCCATGTTCGCGACTATACGATTTGGCAGAACACAAGAGCCACTATATATGGAGACTCAATCAAATACTCGGGGCCGAGTCTGTAAGCCTTCCGGTCATCTGAGATCTGCCTGTAATGCGTGTCGAGAAAAAAAGGTACAAAAGTGTTGAGATCCCGAACAGATGCAGTCACAGCTAAACCAAGAAATCACCAACAGTTGAAATGTACGAGCCACAAGGAAGGCTGTGATCGATGTCGATCCAAGAAAATTGCCTGCTCTTATCTACCACCCAGACAGGATCTGTTGAAGCGGCGCGGGTCACGGCGTCCTTCTAGCATCAGTAGTACGCTCTCTTCAGCTGCAGACCCCCGGCAGAGGGCCGCAGCAGGCAGAGCGAAGCGCATCGTAACCGATACCACAATGGTGCCACTGGCGACGGACGACAGCTCTCCAGAGACTTTACCGCAATCTGATTACCTATGTCCTGATGACACCCAGAACAATGGGCAAGCGCAACTGGAAGGATGGCCTCAAGGCCCGCAGAAAGACCAACTCACCATTCTAGAACCGAACAGTTTGTTGTCCTTTGGGTCAAAGAATAATCCATTCATGCTCGGTGACTCGTCTCTCACCAGCCAGGCGACTTCGCCAAACTGCTCCGAGATCATGGATCTTCTAAACTTTGATTCCTTTCCTGATGATATGTCACCAGCCTCTGCTGCTCCGGACTGTATTGACCCAGGTTCACTGCACAAGCCGGAGATCCAGAGCATGGCAGTTCCTTCATTTGAAGGCAACCTTGTCTCCCTTCGCTTTTCACAAAATCCGAGGGCGAAATTATCCAAATCATCTCTCAGTCAACAACGCGAAAGTACCAAAAACGTTTCCCGGGATGTCCGGTCGGATGCGCCTACTCGTTCACAACGGGCCTTGAATCCTTTGCTCCCTGGAAATCGATATTCTGAGTCGCCCTGCGCATGTATGCAGAAAGTACTTGAGCTATACGAAGATGTTGAGGAAGTAAGTCCAACAAGCAGCGCTATGTCGATGGGAGAGAGTTTGGCTTTTCAAATAGCCGTGCTCCGGAAATGCCTCAACATTGTGGACTGCGAAGTCTGCACTCAGCCCTCGGCAATTTCTATGCTACTTATCACGGTTTGCAATCGCCTGCTGCATATATCTCAAAGTATGTCGTCGCAATTGTGAAAATGGTTTGTGCACGGGTCGCGTTTGCGTCCACAGCTTGCGACAGATCCGCAGGATGCAGATGTTGATAATGGCAGCGATGACCTGACAGGAAAGCTCAGCATGGACCAGCTAGTTTCCATTGGTGCATACAACGTAAATAACCGTACTGAGCGAGCAATGATCGTTCTGAAGGCGATTGAATTTCGGGTTGAGATACTCTGCACAATCTTAAATCATCTCCGAGACCTCGCGACATGTGCAAACCGGAACAAGCACCTTACCCGAATCCATGCCTTGAGTGCCCGGGTACAAAACCACCTCACCGATCTGAAAGACGCGTCTATGGAAGTTGTGATAACCTTTCGAAGCTGACAGCCTGGACAACGTAAGAGCTTGTTAGAAATGCACACGGGTAACTTTTCCTTTCGAGACATTACCAGAGGCGTGGAGATGGCCCTGAACCAAGCCGGTATCCTTGTATTTTTCAAACATATGCAATAAAAGTAGCATGATACCAGAACAAGCAAGATATCCAGCCTGCTTGGACAACAACAATCCAGGAGGGGCATCATGAGACGTAGTCGATTTGGGTGCCACGCCGTAGGTGGTGATAGGTCCAACTTCGGGCATGCTAGACCCCGCAAGCATGCATACAAATAAGCAGAGAAGAAAACCATATTCAGATAAAAAACATAGAATAACGAATGCAAAGAACAAAGTCAAGGAAACCACGAGACAATGATGAAGAATTACCCTAGCTGTCTTTCCAAAATTGGGTCTATGACTTCTTGCAGAATCATGACTCTTCACTTGCTCCAGGTTGATATGAATCAAAAACCTTCTGTATCAACTCCCAAGTCTCATCACGCAAGTATCCATTGATCAAGTAATTCCCAGAGTCGTCCTTTCCATAAATGAGTAATATATCACGAGGTATATATTTGTTGGTCAGTGAAGACCCTGCATATGATACACAGGCTCCGGGTGACCCTGATGAACCATCACTGGGCTGAGCCGTAGGGCCGAAGTGCGCAGCCTCTCGAAATCCGGCCTTGGACCAATTGGTGCAGGCAATGACAGTGGAATTGGCTGTACCGAAGAATGGCATCATCTTTGTACTAGAAAAACTCTCTCTAAACACCCTTATTAACCGTCGAGCTTGTTCGTCTGTAGTCTGCTCCAAGATTGCTTGTCGTATGCGGCAAGCAATCTGTCCCACGGACAAGGGTGTTTCGCCATCGGGTGCAGCTGATACAATGGCGACAGCAGGAAGAATCAGATTCTGCAGGTGGACTCCCGGAGCCGAAAATGGGCCCTTGATACGGCCACGAGCATCGAAAATGTTGTGGATTACAGCAGGGCTTCCCTTTTTGGCTTGAGAAGACAATATCATGTGCGAGACCCAGGCTGTGATGAGGTCGCCGTCGCTGAGAAAAGGTGGCTTCGTTTCATTTCCATCTTCTTTGTAGTACTCAGCATATGCAGCTTGACGGAGATCTGCTATAAATGCTGCAGGTAGATAGATTGTGCGAATGTGGACATTCCTTCGTGTGAAAAGATCCCACGTTAACCGTAGGATCATGACGACCAGTGACAGTCCCCGAAGCCGCCACTGCTCAAGGACATGGGGACCTTGGGCCTTGTCATCGTCAGAGGAACCTATAGATGCTGCCACATCGTTCTTTGCACCTAGAACTTGGGGAATCTGGTCGGGGCGTTCGTGGAGCATGGCTGACCAGGCCTGAAGGAAGCCTACCGTTCCTTTTGCGTCAGTCAATGCGTGGGGAAATGTGACGGAGACCAGTGTTGTGTCTGTGAATGAGACAACTCGCAGTGATAGAAGCGGCTCATCGCTTGATAAGTAGTGTCTAATGTCGGCGGGCAAATCTGGTGGCAGGCTGAAGGATTTGAAGGTATCCCAGCCTTCCTGAATTGAGGGCCTTGAGCCTGTGGATTGGGGCAGACGACTTCCCAGCGGGTGTTCTCGTACGGGAACGTCGTATGAGGCATGCGAGAAACGAAATAGAGAGTGATCTCTGACATTATCATATACGTGGATAGCAAGCTTTCCATCATCCTGTTTTCCGCACGTAGGCCAGGATTAGCCAGATGTGGAAATCGGATCAAAGGACCCATGATACACAATATTATGAAATCAGCTAAGATGATCTTACATTGCGACGTAGGCGACCGCTGAGCTTTCTCCAGTCCTCGGCTTTAAGTAGACGTGTTAAAGCATCATGAAGCTTAGCGGGTTCCAAGATGCAGTTATACCGGAATGTGTAAGTGATGATTGAATCTCGGAGAATTGGAGTTTGATCTATAAAGTGGATAGGGTAGGTTTCATGTGGGCGCGGACTCGGTCTGGAAAAACCTAGCAGGGAACGCACTCTGTGGAAAATTCGAGCCACCATGATGTAGATATCAGATATGAGGATTATTTGTGTGCTTCCAAAGGAGGAAGTAATGATCAGATCTTAAGGGGATGGCCTTGTCTCGGACGCATAATGCCCGAATTGGCAGTTCGGGGATGTTCTCAATGGGGAAATTTCCAGGAACACTCACCTGCAGGACATCAAGTGCTCAGCACCAATGTAAGCAGGTCGTGTGCTGGACTAGTTGACTACATTCATTTTTCCAAGACTCAACCGACGCAAAAGACAGCTCATCAGGCGAACTGCGCACAATTGGACCTAGAGGACAGGGCACCGCTCTAGTGTCAACAAGCCACAGACATCTAATTCCCTCATATAGACAAAACTCGGCTGATTTACTGTCATGGAGATACTTGCTATGCCCGATACAAAAGTATATAGATCCCCATTAGGCAGATGATCTCACCTGACTGTAGCAGAATACAGAACCATACCATCACTCATACAGGCCATCTTTGTGTGCCATAATAGTCTCGCCAGGACAACATTGCATCTGCTCGGAAGGTAAACACGCAACGGCTAACTTTATGATATCTAAACAGGCATATGCACGTACATACAAAAGCATTTTGAGTTTCTTCTGCCCAGGGTTTATTCACAGCAACAGCAGACAGCATGTTGGTCTAGTCAACAACATATCGGTCCGGTTTACATCCGTCGCTCCTCATGAAAGCACACAGGAAGGGCCTGAGAAAGCGTCTTCGATACCGTCCAGAATAACATCGACATCTAATCAGCAAACGTAAATTCAACGGCCAATAATCTTCAGCTCCAGCATTCTAAATGGCGGAAACACAAGAGCCGTGAAGCCCAACCCCAGCCAAAGGCCCATATCACAACCACCTGGAATTGCTCTGGAGACTGGGCCTGTATAATAGGCTTGATCCTGTTGGGAAAAGAGTACCTCGGTCAGCAGCGATTCGTGCAACAAGCACATGCTAGTGGGACTGCGTACCATGCCAACGATGGCTCCTACCCAACCGATCAAAAAGGCAGTGCTAGCTGCCACTCCAACCGGGAGCTTAAGCCAATTGTTCCAATGGGTCCAGTCGTATCTTTTCCCTCGGTTGAAAAGTACATCTTGTTCTACCACAATAGTGAACCAGATAATGACCCAGTATCCAATGAGCGGCATTAGATTCCCGAAGATCTCATACAAAGAGTTTCGGCCTCCAATGGCACATGATGCATAGATCAGAGTGCTGACAGTCGTGAAGACAGGTCGTGGAACCCTGAGCCACATCTCTCCTAGCATTTGGAAATTCAATCCCGTTGAGTACGAGCTGGGGGCATTGTTGGACACAATAGTTAAAACGTTGATGAAGGCGCATAACTTCCCAAGAGGTCCCAGCCGATCATAGCCGGCCATCAAAAGACTCCCCGGCGTGCCGTCATAAAGAGAAGCCCATTTGGAGTTAATAGCAACACCACTTCCAAGCCCGGCGCCAAGAAGAAGGGTTATGGCTATTGAGAGGCTTACACCGATCGTGGTCACAGTCCAAACCTTCCATCTTCTGATTTCCGGAGAATAGTAAACCTGGTAATCTGCAGACACAGGTATCCATGACAAGGGAATAGATAGGCAAAGTGAGAAATATGTTAGACGTTTCGCGTTGATCTGCTCAAGAGAACCAATCGACGGGCTATGGAAATCGAACTGCGGACCAGCCGAGCCGGTGAGAACGCAAAATATCAACAATTGCGGAAACCAAGCAAATCTTTGCCAAAAATGAATGGTCAGACGAGTGCTCTGAAAATTTGAAGGGTGAAGAGTCCTACCGCTCATAGAACTGGAATATTTTCATCCCAAAAGTAGCCATTGCCCAACTCACCAAGGCGACTATTACTATACCGACTATGACAGACACGACTCCTCCTGATAGCTTGGAAAGCAACTGGCCTCCTACAGTGGCACTCATCATGCCGGTACCCAAGTTGGTAAGCACATTCAGTATACAGCAGACCTTACTGGGGTAATATCCCATGAAATACCGAGACACAATCTATCAGGAGAATATAAGTTGTGAGCCGTTATCCTCAAGTCACGCGAATGGTTATGTGCAGATGGGAAAGGCAAGAGAAGAGAACCAAGGGTGCAAGTGTAGGTCTTACAAGTGTGCGGTTGCCGCTTCTGGGACCCCATGTGCTCATGTATCCAACCCCTAGGCTTCCTAGGAACGTTCCAAAGATTACACACAGCGCGGCGTCGGTGAAGCTCAGCTTCATTACCAGTGTTCCCAAAGACCCCGTCACTATATTATTGATTGCCATGCCCATGCTGAACCATGTGAGCATCATTCGGAAAGGGGTTGAGCTGGTGTTCTTCAGTCGTTCTTCAAGAGACACGGGCTCGATCCCGCGAGCCTCTAAGCCTTTGATGTTCCTCGCCCATCGTTCGTATCTCGATCCACATGTTGGCGGGGAAGTTCCCAGAGTATGTGAAGCCTCTAGCTGCTCTCGTGTCACACTCCGCAAGGAAGGGGATCTCTGTCTTTTTTCTAGGTCAGAGTCCATGCTGCTTCGGGCGTGCCTCTCGAGGGGGCTGTCTGTGCACACTTTCGCGTTCTGCAACAACTTGAACTATAACCTGCTGGGACTCATCAAACTATAAATGGACACAATAAGGAAAGACAGTCGCCTCACTGAGCAAACAGACATTCGAAAAACCGGAGGGAGAAGATTCCAGTGGAACAACCACTGGTTACTCCGTCGTACTGCATTGACATCACTTTGTTTTCCTCAGCGTGACACCCGCGCTCCAAGACCAGAACAGCATTCCACAGCATCAGAACACTAAATCGGGATACCGACCCCAAACCTGGTCAAAAATACTATGCTTGTACTGGATCGGGCTTAGTAGCACACGTCTACCTCGTCAGAGAACAAAGGGGTTGGTATCCGGATAACAGCTGGGAGGCACCCGATCCATCAGGGCGTTTGCTTCAACATCGTCATTGAGAGATATTCTTAGTGTATGCTGCCCTATCGTGCTGGCAAGGCCATACACCCTTCCGCACAGACAGTCATGTGAGAGTGTGTTCCACATACCACGCCGATGATGCCTTAATAAGCTCTGCGATACATTCCTTTGGTATGCACCAGCCACGCAAGGAGACGAAATGCTATTCAGGGAGACAAAATCCTGATGCCTGTATCAAGAGCCAGCAGATCAAGTCCATGTGCTTGTTGTGGGGTACAGAGCACAGGAACAAGAGTGTCAGGTATGGGACGAGCTCATGAACTGCTGACCGGGACCTCGTAGCCCCGGATTTCTAGCTTGCTTCGATCCTTGTCAGGAAAGTGGTGAGCAGGGTGAGAAGAACAAGGGATCATGTCGCCCATGCCTTGTGATATATTCCCCTGACGACTGCGGCAGATGAATACCATTTTGATCAGTTTCCCTGAGAGACGGTTACGTACTCGAAACCTCTTCCCAACTCCTTGATAGGGCTCTGAACACTGCTGCGTGCTCATGTATGACTGACAAGCAAGACCAACTGCCACATCGGGTGGTGTCCAATCTTGATAGCAGGCAATTCAACCCCGACTGAATGCCACAGGCATGACTCTAATACCGAGGCGGGCGATATTCCTCAGATGGACATGATTGAATAAGCATTTATGAGCCATAATGCAATGAAGAATGCAACGCGACATGTATTCACCATCTTCAATAGTATCCAGCCAAAGGTGACTGCACTATGCTTGTCAGTGACTAACTCTGCCCCTCTCATTATCATTAATTCTACGCATATGGGGTTACTTTCCACCACAAACATTCTTTCTTTCTTATCTCAACATGGTACTATTCATATCATTGAGTATATATTTGGACGCTCAATGATCGAACAAGCAAAATAGTAATATCATTTAAATAGCAAATCAAGAATTTAAGACAATTCCAGAGATTATGATCTACCCTATACATCATCAGTGCTAAGTACCTAGAGCTTTTAAGGTTTCATATCCAAGACTGCACGCACCCCAAAGAAAGCCCCTAACATTCTATGCCAAGCTTACAGAACCATCGAAGTCAAGAAACCAATCAGCATCAGAATTTTCACGAGCATCACTCACATGCAATACTCTACCATTACACTTAGCACACACATTTTCCACAGCGACCGAGGTATACAACCCAAGGGAGGGCCATTCGGCGCTGACCTTGTCGGCTTTTCACGCATGCCCTCCTCCCAGCCTGCGTATCAACCGATAAATTTGGAGAACATCGATTTGTTGGCACAGATGTAGCAGTGCGGGAACTATTTCCTCTTTGCAATGTATAGCGGTGGAATTTAACAACATGTCTCGGTTCCCTCATTTTGATGAGCAATAGCCTACCAATACATGCATCCTCTAGAAAGCATTCAGAACTGATGACATTCTTCGGCGGCGGAGCCTCTTGAGATCTTCTCAACAGCAAAAAAGGTACTACTTTGATCTTTATAATCCATTTCTCTAAGCGACGAAGTGCGCCGTGATTTGGACACATAGGGACTACTGTGTAGTCGCGGATTCGTCCTAAATAGTGTATTGGTCCAAAGCGGCCGATGCGAACATAACCTCGTTCTGTCCAAGCTAGATCCTTGACAACCCGTATAGGTATATAATGCTGTCGAGAAGACAGTCTATGATGGTGTTTTTCTTTGGATCTTTCAATAGTCGGAAGCAAACCCCGCATATGAAGAGCCAGAGAGTGTTTATAGGGTCCTATATCTATATAACCAATCCAGGTCAGACTTTGCCCATGAGAATCGAACCAAAGATTTACGTGACAAGAAGCACATAACTGAACCGCAAAGCCGCGTCCTCTGCCCTCCCAGTTGCATAAATCTGTCCAATCGAAACAGTGAATAATCAGGATATCTCTTCAATGCCATATTCAACACACTCTCTTGAGTTGCATATGATCCCGATATTACTATGCTTTATGGCTGCTCATCTTTTGGATGTACCCCTCTTATTCGTGTATATAACCTGAGAATCGACATGCCATGCTGAGAATTATAAACGCAGAAAACTATTTGGAAGCACTTACTCCGACATCTCAAGCAGTTTATCCTTGAGTACTGAGTAGGCAGCACAACTCGGTGAAGCGGAACAAGGCCTCTGTAACCTGAATGCCCAGCTCCATGACGAACAGACATGGTTTCTAAAATGGGAGAGCGATGCCACGGATTGGAAGGAAGTCTCAAGCAACATGGAAGAACCTGAAGGTCCACAATGATGGTCAAAGTATCAAGGGTATACAAGTGCAGTACCATTATGCTCAGGGTGAGGTGGTTGGACAGTTCAATATTACAACTAGAAGACACCGAGAGATCTCGTGAGCCCAGTGGCTATTGAAGCATTACACATGGACGACCGTGAAGTTGAATCAGGTAATTCCTAAAAAAGACTCATGAGTATCTTTTGAAAAAGATACTATCAATCTAGCATGAGGATGCAAATTCTCTTCTACTTAATTGTTATCTTATTTCGGGCATCTGCATTTACACCCACATGTTAGCAATGTGCCAGGGGCATCATGAAGATTGTGTTAAAATTAATCGTCGCGATCTTGATATATTGTCTTTAGAAAAGCCCATGACAGAGATGGTTATCTCTTATCTGCGCGTCCTGCGAACGAGCATAGCATGCGAGATATATTGACTGCTATCCAGTCTACCCAGCAACATCTAGGTGCTTTTGATGGTGCTGATTGACAGGAGGGACATGACCGCTCGATAAGTGTTGACTGTTCTTTCCAGTGATGATAGTATGATAAGCTGCAGATCAAAAGCAAACTGGTGCTTCCGTTACCTGACCAACTAGGGTAACCATACAATTTTGGAAAGGTTTAGTCAGGTAGTCGTCCAAAACAGGGCTCTGGCAGACAAGACTACCTCCAGTACGACCACGCTCTATGTCTCATCTACGGTACTCAATATGTTCCTCAAATAATCTCTAGAATATACTGTCATCTTAGAAGCCATATAACCAGATCGCTTTGTTCTTCTGTGCACCACAGCTTCTTAAGGTAGTGGCCTTCAAAAAGTCAAAAGCTGGTAGATTTGATACTAGCTGGCAAATTCGATTATATGATTAAAGTAGCCGAGCGATGAAAAGAAATGCATAACCTTCTCCAGTAGCATAAATCAGCCGCTAATACGTTTATATCTCTACGTTCCAACAAAGTTACTATATACCACCTCAACTTAAAGCAACTCAACGGTATACTATTAATCAATTAAACTCAAATACTCAGAAGAAATCCGATTAAGACTCCAACCAGAATGTGTATGACAGTTTTGCCCTTTCTCTGGCGTGCTTTCCGCCTCCCTGAACCATATCCTTCAGGTGGACCGGGCTAAAAAGTAAGAACCAAATGTTCAAGTTGCTGGATTCGATGATAGTATTGCAAGACGTAGAGGTGAAATATATGTGTTTGATCAAATTAGATATCAAGATGATGTTTGGTTGTTAGGTCAGACACCACGTAGGCAGAGGTGGCGGAAATTCAGGTTATGCCTGGCTAAGTGAATGTCTGAGTACAAACAGGATATTCTAGTCAAAAGCCTCATTCTCTGGATTCGATTGCTTCTGATCATAAGTTGTTGTTGTATACAACCTAGTACCGAGAATTCAAGTGTTGAGGAGCGAGTAAGGGTAATGCAACGGCTTCAGCTAGCTACTTATATATACTGGTCAGTTCTGTCGGGCAGTCACCGGAGACTTACTACTAGGATGATGTTGCCAACAATAGTAGAATATACTAATTGCGGGAATTTCCATCTTCACTTACTTATCCTAGTTCGCTGCTTGTCATATTCACACTTAATGCACGTGATGTGGCTGGGATAAAAGTTGGTGAAACATTTTGAGTCCCCTTCTGCTGAGCGGCCATTGGTATATTGCTTTGGTCTACTTGGTGATATGTTGTACTGACAAGAACCCAACTCAGCCGCAATCTATCAAAGCCAAGTTATTCTTCTCCCGTCTATTCGGATTCTTCTCTCATTCTAGAAGGCTGAGAGTCAAGCCGCCAACCATGATTGTTGATACTTACAACAACGAGCCGTCTCCATATCGCATCGGTGCAGTACTGGCTATTCAGTCACACACTCCTCCACCTCCATTCCACAAAAATGAAATATATCAGCAAGATAAACTGGATCATTCGCTCTCTCCCCTAGAGCTATGTCTCAAGAACCCCCCTCTGCCAGGCCTTGATGGCCATAATTATGTTGATATCCAGTTGATTGAGGAACTGCAAACCGGCTTCTGTAAAAGGTCCCAGGTATTTATTGTAAGATATGTGAATGCTGTTCATTCTTCAGGTCTACCGACAGATCAGGACATGGTCGCCAAGTTCTATGACCCTCTCTATCACGACCGTGACGATGGCAACCCTTTCCGGGCAGCTGACTATGATTACTCACACGAGTGTGCCTCTTATAAGCGTTTGTCCGAGCTACAGGGCTCTGTTCTTCCCCAATTCTTCGGCTCTTACACATTCAAAACAAAGGTCTATGATCATCCTCGCCAAGTTCGTTTGATCTTGACTGAACGAGTCAATGGTCTGCCCATGAGTCGCCTAGAGCCCAAGACATTCTCAACAGAGGAGCGTCAGAATATTATGAAACAGATAATTGATGGAGAGTCTGCACTCTACGCCAAGGACGTTCGCCATGAAGACTTATGTCCACGCAATATCTTGATTGAACGGAGTGAACTGGGAAAAGCAAGGGCCGTCTTTATTGACTTAGGAAAATCTGTTATTGGACGATCACGCAATCCTTCGAACAGTGTAGAAGAGAGCGAATGGTTTCCTGGCGTCCCGGTTAGCCCACTACTTAGATGGAACATCTATTATGGGTATCCTAACAGCTTTGAAGATTGGATCGACTGGACGTGGCCGAAATGGCTTGAGGTTCAATACAAGGAGACTGAATCTACAATCACAGATGACCAACGGCAGAGGTGGCCAGTGTATAACTGGATGCTGGAGATTACATCAATTTCATGATATGGTGGGAGGTGTTTTGAGCCCATGTTGTGCCAGAGAGTCTAACAACTTAGCAAGAGATACAAGCTGTTCTGAATTATCTTTCATATTCCACCACTATGTCAAGACCGACGTCCATGTGATAGCAGGTCATCACTTCCTCAGATTAAATTGCAGTGAGCCTAGGCATATTGTGTTTCCAGTTCAGGTAGTTCCTCCCGACAGAGCAACCAAGCATGATAATCACGAAAGCTCTTAGTCTGCGCCATCCTCTACGTACCTACTAGCATCTACTTAGCACTTGGACCGAGACATGCGGACCCAACATATGAATCTACTGAACCTACCGTATGAGGACAAGCAAACAGACGAACGAAAGAGAGACAGCAGCCCAAACCTACTTACTACTAACCTACCCAATCCAACCTTATTACAGCGTAGAAACGAAATGAAAGGGAGAAAAGCTCTCTTCCAAGCAAGCTGACGACATCCGTGTCACCCGGAGCTTGTGCTTGTGGTGGCTATGCTATGCGCATGTAACCACTCGGCTAACGCAGAGCTTAGCATAGGCGGATTGACAAGTCAGGTTGATGGTATTGTTTACTTATCCGTACGGTGTAGATACTTACCCCATAAGGGTTGGGGTTTGAAATGGGGTCCAAACGCGATATGATGAGACTGTACACCATTGTGGTAGGTGTCAGGTTTTATGAAGCTTCCCCTCCGGGATCATCGTGATGATGATGGTGGTGGTGGTGGTGGTGGTGCAACGGGCGAACTGATGAGATGGAATAGGATAGGACGGAGAGCTCCGCCCGGAGAATTAACATAACATGACAATAACAATACGCGGGAAAGTGTACTGCATTGCACTGCACTGCACTACTTTACAGTTATGAATATATTGATAGAGGCATGATCTGATGTCACCAGGTCTACTTGCTGTGGATGTAAGTGGAAATAGGATGCGCCGGATATGAAGTCAAAATCAGACAAGTTTCCAAGGATTTACTAGACTAACTAAGAAGGAATATTCTTCCAGACGAGGATAATAAACACATTATTATTACCCTCCGGCTAAGCTAAAGCTAACCTTACTTTCCCTGTCGACTTGCTTTTTAGTAAGTATGCAAACTAGACTAGTCAGGTTCCCATACGTGGATTAGATAGATGGATGGGGCCCTTTTTTTTGCACCGCCCCCTTCCTGCCAAGTCTTGTTTTCTTCTTTCTTCCTCTTGTTCTTCTCCTGGTAAAAGTAGACTATTTACTGACGGAGAAAGTTAGGATGGGGTTTTCGGGCTGTTCCACAAGTCTAGACTTGTTGGCGGGTTTTCTTCGTCATCTTGCGTGTTGTTGACAGGATATTGGTGATCTGTTTAACATAACTGTTTGATAACTTTTATCCGTCTTTTGACATTCATCACAGTCTCTGTCTCTCGGGTGGCATGTGGTACATGGAATATTCTTTCCCTGGCGAACCCGGCGGTTAGACCTGATGCGTAGCGTGCATTAGCTCGACTAGTCCAAACATTAATGCATCGTCATTAATTTGATGATTTCTTAGTAAGTTAGTAAGTTTCTTAGCGAGTAGAGCGATGAGTAGATAGATAGACAGACAGATAGTAGTCTAGATAGATAACTAGTCTAGTTTATCGTTCTGCGCCGCCTATCTACTTGGTTGATAGTACGTGGTCCGAGTGGAGCCCCTTTCTTGGGGGTCAAGTTAGAACACTTGAAGAGGCAGGTCCAACATCATCACGATGGATAACCCCCATCTGAATAGTAATATGAACCGAGAACAAGAAATACAGTGCGGCATTTGGCCCGTCTAAATACCGCTAGTGTTCTGGGGACCATCTCGTAAATGGCATTGGTAGCATTGGAGGTAGAAAGTATCTGCCTCACTGCTGGTAAATCGGGAGAAATTTGACTGGTGATGAGTTAAGGTACGTGGATGGAGCACGTCCTGCTTCGGGTTCCATTCCCCTTAATTCTAGCTCGACCGTTAGTCTGGAGAGCGAGGGATGCACTACCGAGGTGTGGATTTTGTCTCTTCCGTCACCACTTTTTCCGTTCCCTCCTCCCTTTCCAGTAAGCAACTCATTAGTAGTACCCCATAGACTCATAGTCTAGATGTCACATTGGATTATTTATTGCACTGAAAAAGACCTTCTTCCCCAAACAGGTCTGGGAACACTGAAGCAGAAAAGAAAGGGAGCAGGACATTCATATCAATAAAGGCGGATAATAATAAAGGCCTGAAAATTGATGAAATGGGAATAAAATAAAATAGAATTTTCTGAAAGGGGAAAAGGTGGGAAAAAATCAAATCAAAAGACTTTCGATGACGGGGTCGAGAATGAGGCAGTGCAAAAGTGAACCGACGAGTTACGTTACAGCTTTGGGCGAGTCGGAGCTCTGCAGAGGTCATTAGGCCCGTTAAACAATTCCCCCCAAGAAACCAAACACCCCCAGCGCCCTGTTTTGGTGGCAAGGAGGTCGCCTCAATCCGTGGATATCCCCGTTAGAGGTCAAAAAAAGGAAGAGAATGATTGAAAGGCGCTCTCCCTTTATATGGATGGAGGTTTCCCTGTAGATCGATAAACAAATGCCCTGACGAAGCAGAACCATCAAACATGGGGTAGATAGTCAGCCATCGGGCAATTGGCAGCTTTTCTTCTGCAAACAAACAGCTTTCGTTTCCCAAACTTACCACATCACTCGATCTGGACCTACCGGTGGGTCCACAGTGGGGCAGTTAGCCGTGGTGATTGGCCCTTTGCAGGATAGGTGCAGGGTCTACCACCGAATCATGCTGTAGTCGGTAAGTAGTAGGTACCTTACCTGACAGTACAACTGCGCCTGCCATTCCTCTTTCTTTACTTCCATGATCTCAGTCAGTCCCTCTCCTCTATCAATTGTTCTATCCACCCAACATCATGATGTGTTGTTGTTCTGCTTGATTCCCCAATTTCTCCCTCCCCCATTCATTCTCCCTTTTTCCTCCACTTGACTTTCTCTTGCCCTTAAACCCTCTTTGTCTTCGCTTCATTCCGTAATTTACCTCCATTGGTTCTGTGCTCCTTAACGCCGACACAAGTGAGGTGCGGTCGCTGGGTTGTCGGTTTCCCCCCCAATTCCCCTCAACGCAAGACGTCTGTCCATTCGCTGGCTTTCAAGTAAAACCTCGTCGCTGATAAGCCCTTCTAGCACTGGCAGTGCTTCTAATTCGTTTACACTTTGTCGGGATTGGTCCCACCATCGGGTCGCGTTTCGATAATTGTCACCTCCGGATGTGCTCCTGATACGACGTTACTACGTGGTGTGGCTCTCTGGTGCTGGCAAAGCTTGTCAACCTTCATATCCCACCGTTGTCCTTCCCTCCTTTTCGCCTCACTAGTCGCCTGTTTCCCGTCTTCTCTCGTGCTTCTCTTAAATCGCTGTTCAATCGATGTGGACGTTCCTTACTCCCACGGCCACTTCCGCGCATTCGTCTGTTTAATCCGCAGCGCCAGTTCTTAGTGTAGCTAGAACACATGGGATATAATACTCGCGCATTCCTCTTCGGTGTCCGCTATTGAGCTTAATCGGTTGCTACTTGCCTCTGGAATGATACCCACTTCTCTTGCGTCTGGATCCGACATTTTATGATTCGGCGCTGTTCAATTGTTCTGCTCCTTTTGGAGCCGCATTCCTATTGACGTCTAGTATCCTAGTTCTTACCAACCGGTTGCCATCACTCCCAAGACCCACTCATCTCCGGTTGTTTCACCCCTTGGAAATATCATGCCGGATTCCAAATCGGATGGCCATGATGCTAGGCAGTCAGGGTCGACTCCCCTGCGACGGGAGCGGGCCCCGACTATCACCATCGATACGTCGGCTGTAACGTCCCCAACCGACCAGCAAGAACCCCCGCAACAGATACTTCCTACCCCATCCCACCCTTCCTTACAAGTGTCTACCGAAAATGTTGATGCGCATGATATGAGCGCGCTCTTGAGCAGTGGGGGTGTCTCGCCATCGTCAGTCCGCTCTTTTGCGTCATCTGAGAACCGGGACTACGAGAGTCGTCCTACTTCCCCACACAATATCTCCTCTCCCGCCTCGAAAATGACGGAGAACATGTCGAATTCGAATTACCTGGCTGTCCCCGGCACCAGGTCTCGCGGCAACTCGTTGGAATCTGAGGACTCGAACAACTCGTCTACCAGCTCGTACGGGGGAGATACCTATGTTCCTACAGCATCTCACGGCTCGCGCACCGATTTGACCCAGAACACGATAATTTCCGATGAGGATGCCCTCAAGCCGGATCCGGGCCGAGAGGCCGAATTTGAGGTGGAAGACAACAAATTTGCATTCGCGCCCGGCCATCTGAACAAGCTGTTGAACCCTAAGAGCCTGGGAGCATTTCATGCGTTGGGAGGATTGCGTGGAATCGAAAAAGGACTTCGAACCGATGCGCGGAGTGGTTTGAGTATGGATGAGGGAGACCTGGATGGTACAGTGAGCTTCGAAGATGCCACCAGCACGCAAACGTCCGAATCGCTGCCCAAGACCGCTTCCTCGACGCCAACGAGCCCTCCCAGAACCGACACGGGCTCGTCGAAACATGTCGAAAATGCCTTTGGGGATCGAAGCCGCGTCTATGGGAGGAACAAGCTTCCTGAAAGGAAGGCTAAGAGTTTCCTGGAGCTGGCTTGGATTGCATACAACGACAAGGTTCTGATCCTGCTTACGATAGCTGCAATCATATCTCTCGCCCTTGGAATCTATCAGTCTGTGACGGCAACAGGGAAGGAAGCACGTGTGCAATGGGTAGAGGGCGTGGCTATCATTGTTGCCATCCTGATCGTGGTCGTTGTGGGTGCCGCTAACGACTGGCAAAAGGAACGCCAGTTCGTCAAGTTGAACAAGAAGAAAGACGATCGACTGGTGAAAGTGGTCCGTTCCGGGAAAACAGCAGAGATATCTATTCACGACATTCTCGTGGGTGACGTTATGCATCTTGAACCCGGTGATCTTATCCCAGTTGATGGTATCTTTATTACTGGCCACAATGTTAAATGCGACGAATCCTCTGCGACCGGTGAGTCGGACGTGCTACGCAAGACTCCTGCTCACGATGTCTATCGGGCGATCGAGCAACACGAAAACGTCTCGAAGCAGGACCCGTTCATTGTTTCTGGTGCCAAAGTCTCCGAAGGCGTAGGGACGTTCTTGGTTACAGCAGTCGGTGTCAATTCTACATACGGAAAGACCATGATGTCTCTTCAGGATGAAGGGCAGACCACCCCGCTGCAATCGAAGCTGAACGTACTCGCTGAGTACATTGCAAAGCTCGGTCTTGCTTCTGGATTACTCCTGTTCGTCGTGCTGTTCATCAAGTTCCTTGCTCAGTTGAAAGATATGGGCGGCGCATCCGAGAAAGGACAAGCTTTCCTGCAGATATTCATTGTTGCTGTAACCGTCATTGTTGTTGCTGTCCCAGAAGGTCTTCCTCTGGCTGTCACTCTGGCGCTCGCCTTTGCAACGACCCGGATGCTCAAGGACAATAACCTCGTACGTCTGCTGAGAGCCTGTGAAACTATGGGAAATGCCACGACTATCTGCTCCGACAAAACAGGTACCCTGACGGAAAACAAAATGACCGCAGTCGCGGCTACTCTGGGAAAGAATTTAAGATTTGGGGACAAGTCCACCGAAACCTCTAGTCGTCCAGACGGCGACCGGGGTCGCGACACTGCGACTACTCTTTCTCCCTCCGAGTTCGCATCCAGCCTTTCTGCTCCGGCCAAAGACCTTTTGATCAAGTCGATCGTATTGAACTCCACGGCATTCGAAGGGGAGCAAGACGGCGTAATGACTTTTATCGGTTCGAAGACGGAGACTGCTCTCCTGGGATTTGCGCGTACGTATCTCGGCCTAGGGTCGCTCAGCGAGGCGCGAGACAACGCGAATCTTGCTCAGATGGTGCCATTCGACTCTGGGCGCAAGTGTATGGCGGTGATTGTCAAGATGGAGAATGGTAAATACAGGATGCTGGTCAAAGGTGCATCCGAGATCCTGGTTGCGAGATCCACTCGTATTGTTCACAATGCTACCCAGGACTTGTCAGAAGGGCCCATGTCGGATCAGGACCGGTCTAACCTGGACAATTTAATCAACCGTTATGCGTCTCATTCGTTACGAACTATTGGTCTGGTGTACCGAGACTTCGATCAATGGCCACCCCGTGGGGCTCCTACACACGAGGAGGATCGTTCGCTCGCTGTTTTCGATGCAGTCTTCAAGGATATGATTTTGTTGGGCGTCTTTGGTATTCAGGACCCCTTGCGACCGGGTGTGACCGAGTCTGTTCACCAGTGTCAACGTGCAGGTGTCTTTGTGCGTATGGTGACTGGTGACAACATCATGACTGCCAAAGCTATCGCCCAAGAATGCGGTATCTTCACTCCTGGAGGTATTGCAATTGAGGGCCCCAAGTTCCGTCAGTTAAGCAGCCGTCAGATGACGCAGATCATCCCGCGGCTACAGGTTTTGGCCAGGTCAAGCCCCGACGACAAGAAAATTCTGGTCACTCAACTCAAAAAGCTGGGTGAAACGGTGGCAGTGACAGGCGACGGTACAAACGACGCACAGGCTCTCAAGACGGCTGATGTTGGCTTTTCTATGGGAATTTCTGGCACTGAAGTTGCTAAAGAAGCGTCCGATATCATCCTCATGGACGACAACTTCACCTCAATCATCAAGGCTATGGCTTGGGGTAGGACAGTCAATGATGCTGTCAAGAAGTTCCTTCAGGTATGTTTTTGTATTTTTCAGTGCTTCGCAAGAAAAGCTAACCGAGCTGTAGTTCCAACTTACTGTCAACGTTACTGCCGTGGTTCTCACTTTTGTTTCCGCAGTAGCGAGTGGAGATGAAGAATCTGTTCTGACAGCAGTTCAGCTTCTCTGGGTTAACCTTATCATGGACACCTTTGCGGCCCTTGCCTTGGCTACGGATCCCCCCTCTCCTCATGTTCTCGACCGTCGACCTGACCCCAAATCGGCGCCGTTGATCAATCTGACTATGTGGAAGATGATTATCGGACAGAGCATCTATCAGTTGGTCGTCACACTGGTTCTGAACTTCGCGGGACAATCCATCTTTCACTACAAGACGGCTGACGACCTCGACCGGCTTGAGACGATGGTGTTCAACACGTTTGTCTGGATGCAGATCTTCAATCAGTGGAATTGTCGCCGACTCGACAATAACTTCAATATCTTCGAGGGCATGTGGCGAAACTTTTGGTTCATGGGGATTCAGTTCATCATTATTGGTGGTCAAATTCTCATCATCTTCGTTGGTGGACAGGCGTTCTCGGTGAAGCGACTCAATGGAGCTCAGTGGGGTGTTTCGCTGGTTCTGGGCGTCATCTCGCTGCCGGTAGCCGTGATCATTCGATTGATACCTGATGAGTTTATCAGCCGGCTCATCCCTCGGTTCTGGCAGCGCAAGAAGGGCCCCGAGCTACTGGTGTCCGACGAGGACCGGCGGTTTGAGTGGAACCCCGCGCTCGAGGAGATCCGGGATCAGTTGAAGTTCCTCAAGACGGTTCGCGGAGGTCGGCTGAGGCATCTCAAGCACAAGTTGCAACATCCAGAAGAACTCCTCCCAAGATCACGAAGCGGGTCACGTTCCAGAGAAAACTCGATTCCCGGTACTCCTGTTGGCGAACACAGCGACAGCACCCCGACACAGCCCCCTACTCCCGATTCGCGCTCTAGACGACGCACTCGGTCCCGCTCGAATTCAGCCTTCGGGCCTGCTGCTGCTATGGCGGGTGTCGTTGCGGGAAGTATCGCGGGCTGGTCTCCAATCGAGCGGGCACCAGGTGACGGAGAGGCTTTCAAGGTCCAGACGGACAGTCCTCATGGGGGCCTGGATAAGCAGAAGGGCATTGAAATCCACCCTGATACTGCGGCTGATGACCGTATTCTGGGAGATTACCAGACTACCTCGAAGACCCCTCCAAGCCAGAACCCAGAACTTCTCCCGCACTTTGAACACGCACCTCCGGAGCGTGCTCCGTCCCACCGGAGCCAGAGGTCTACGTCAAGGCTGTCGCGATCCAGCCAGAGCCAGGCGTGATCGCAAATCATTTCCTTACCAAATCCCTCCAGCCTTGTATACTTACCAGCGCTCTCTCTTTGTTCACTCAAGTTCTTGCTTGTGATTTAATTCCTTTCATGCTAGATGTTACTGCGCTTTGTGACTTTACTTGCTGATTCGTTGCTTTTCTGGGACTCGATTAGCCTTGTGCGGAATACTGTGTTTTTAATATCCTGGGGTGGGGTTGGCGTATGTGATTTAAAAGGTGTATTCGTTCGCGGTTGCTTGCTTTCTAGACACTTCTCGCATAGGGATACGGACCTGGTCAAAAGGGGTCGGATGCTTGCTTTCTAGACACTTCTCGCATAGGGATACGGACCTGGTCAAAAGGGGTCGGATGCTTGCTTTACTCTATTTATTAGTCTCTCTTTGTACATAGCACTTCTTGCCTCGCCTGATGGTAGACTCGGGTTGAGAAAATACAGTCAATCTCGATGAAATCCCTATCCTCCCCCACCCTAAGCAGATTGTTTTTAATGAATTTGTTCTGTAGCCACGACCGCTACCATACCGACGTGGCCCCGAAATCTACTACTAAAGCCCACATTCACAATCACTAGTAGTTCACCTCTTCTATAAATGATCGATAAACTATTCATTTCTATTCATGAACTAACCGAGTAAGGCAAGTTACAGCTTCCCGCGGAGATCGCCTATCACCATGTGACTTTTCCGCTTATCGCGGGATTCTCCGCAGCGGCGATGGAGAAGTACTTCTACTGGTACTACTGCCCTTGCTTTTTCCTTTGTTCTTCCTCATCTCAATTCCTCAAATCCCTTCTTCTCTCGCAGCAATTGCTCATCATGTCTGCTGTACGTCCCATGAGAAAAGGTCTTCACCTTCTGGGCTCGAGCTCGCTCGCTCGCCCCGCATCTGTCGCTGTCAATGGCGCATCTCTCCTCCCGCGGCAGCTGGCAGCTTCTCCGCGCGCTCTCCGCCCCGCGGCCAGCTTCATTGCTGCTGCTCGTCCCCTTCCCCGAGTGACTTCGCTGTCTGCTCAAGGAGGTGTTCGATATGCCTCGTCAGCTGCTTCTTCAGGTCCAGTGAAGAAGACTCAACTGTATGATCTTCACTTGGCCCGGGGTGCCAAAATGGTCCCCTTTGCGGGGTTCTCCATGCCCTTGCAGTATTCCGACCTCAGCCATGTCGAGAGCCACAAGTGGACTCGGGAAAAGGCCAGTCTTTTCGATGTGAGCCATATGTGCGTATACCACTTTCCTCTGGTGTCTAGAGTCTTCTTAATTGACCAACTTCAGGGTTCAACATCAGCTCAGCGGCCCCGGCGCTCTTGACCTCCTCATGAAGGTCACCCCCTCCTCCCTCGACAAGCTCAACCATAACCAATCCACTCTCTCTTGTCTCTTGGAGGATGGGACTGGTGGCATCGTCGATGACACTGTCATCACTCGTCGTACCGACGACTCCTTCTACTTCGTGACCAACGCCGGTCGTCGCACGGAGGACTTGGCCTTCCTGCAAGCCGAGATCGACACCTACAAGCAAGCCCACGGTCCCGACAGCCTGAAGTGGGAGATCCTCGAGGACCGCGCCCTAGTTGCCCTCCAGGGCCCCAAGGCTGCCTCTGTTCTTCAGTCCCTCGTCACCCCCGAAGGCGCCAATTCCGACCTCTCCACCCTCTACTTCGGTAACTGCCGAGAGCTGCACCTCACCTTCCCCGACGGCACCACCACCCCGCAGCCCCTCCTCGTCTCCCGCACCGGCTACACCGGCGAAGACGGCTTCGAGATCTCCATTCCCACCGCCAGTGACGCCAGCCTACCTGCTCGCGTTACCGAGCTCTTCCTCTCCAACCCTGACGAAGTCCGTCTCGCGGGTCTCGCCGCGCGCGACTCCCTCCGCCTCGAAGCCGGAATGTGTCTCTACGGAAGCGACATCTCCACTTCTCAAACCCCTCCCGGCGCCTCCCTCACCTGGCTCGTAGGCAAGGAGCGTCGTGACCCCGCCACCGCCAACTTCAACGGCGCCTCCACCATCCTCCCCCAGGTCGCCTCCCCCAAGACCCTCTCCCAGCGCCGTGTCGGATTCACCGTCGAGAAGGGCTCTCCTGCCCGTGAGGGTGCCATCATTGTCGATCTGAACGACGAGTCCCGTACCCAGATCGGCGTCATTACCTCTGGCCTTCCCAGCCCTACTCTAGGCGGCACTAACATCGCCATGGGCTACATCAAGAACGGACTGCACAAGAAGGGCACTGAGGTTGGCGTCCTGGTAAGGAACAAGCTCCGCAAGGCTACGGTTACGGGTATGCCTTGGGTTGAGAGCAAGTTCTATCGCCCTAAGGCTTAGACCCTTTCCTTAAGGTTTTATTGGCTTGGATGTGGCTGGACGGGGTGATATAGGAGTGGGTGTTTGGCTTGGTTTTCAACAATAGATTCCCCTGATGATGATTCTTGATGCTTGATGTTTGACGTCATTGTTTGTACATAGATTCTGATGATTCATCTTTTTCTTATTTCCTCTTTTCTTTCTTGGATCCTCTTGGGACCAGCAATGGGTTCAACCCTGTCGTGATGGCTGCTCTGGTTGTCGGCGAATGCCAGATTGTGAGATGTGATACAATTTTAAAAGTCCCAATTTCCAACCAGATGTAATGCAGCACGTACTTCTGTCTTGTTCTTGAAAGGTAACTTAAAGTTCCAATCTTACCTGCTAGATATTGTAAATCACTTGTGTGAAATTCAGACAACCCAACAACAGGTAGGAAGTTTTGTAGATAACATAGAATGGTTACTGAATGCATAAACCCCAATACCTAGGACCGACGCAATTTCTACACTGTAAAGATGTTATCTCTGTGGAACACAAGTGTTCCCCCTCAAACATCCACCCCAAACACCTGCTTCGTCGACAATGAAGGGGGCAAATCCCCCACCCCGGTCCCCCACTCACTCTCATCCCTCCCCAACACCAGCACCAGCTCCTGCCCCTCCGTGAAGAACTCATGACCCACATAACTCTTCGTATACGGCTGGCCATTCAGCGTCGCCGACTGAACATAGATATTCTGATAAGTTGCGTCAAAGTTGACCGTCTTCACGGTAGCCGTCTTGCCCGTCAACGGGGAGGTGATGTTGACTGTTTCAAAGAACGGCGCTGTAATAAGGTAGACGTTTTGACCGGGGTTCGGAAACAGACCCATCATGGTCATGGCGACGAAGGAGCCCATGGCCCCGGAGTCGTCGTTGCCGGGGAGGCCCGTCGGCGTGGGGTGGAAGTACCGCGGGATGTAGTAGTGGGCGCGCGCGGTGGATTTTCCGGGCCGATTGGCATAGTGGTATTGGAAGACGGTGAGGAAGGCCGGCTCGTTGCCGATGTAGGTGATGCCTTGGTCGTGGAGGTAGTCGAGTCGGCGGATGAATTGGGTTGGGCCGCCGAGGAGGGTGATCAGGGTGGACATGTCGTGGGGGACGAAGCTGGTTATGGTTAGTTTGGGGGGTGGTTCTAGGTGGTTTGGGGATGGGGCGTACAATTGGTATTCCCAGATGCTGGACTCGAAGGTCTCGGCTCCGTTGTTTTGTAAGGAGCAGGATCGTCCGCTTGTGTCGATGTTGGAACATGTTAATGGGTCCTGCGGGGGGTTGTACGGGTTAGTTCGGTTGGGGGGTGTAGAGGTGGTTTGGAGGAGTTACTGACTTGAGATCCCCAGGTTCCGTTGAGATACTTGGGCTGGAAGAAGCCCCGGAAGCCTGTGTCGGTGCCGTTGAGATACGAGGTTTGGTCTGCTCGGAAGAGGTTCTGCCAGTATTGCGACCTTCCCTCGTACTTTTCGGCATCGCCGGTTTTGTTCATGGCCCGAGCCATTTGGGCGATAGTGAAGTCATTGTAAGAGTATTCCAATGTGCGGGAAATGCTGCGAGTTAGGGTACCAAAGCCGATGTAATCGAAATCCTCCACGGGGATGTAGTTCAACGTCTTCCAGCTCATTAGTCCACCGCGTCCCTCATTCGACCAGTCAAATGGTTCTTCCTCAGCGTCTTTCACTACAGCCGCATAGCCTGCATCCCAGTCGATGCCGTCTGAGATGCCTTTGGCGTATGCGTCAGCCAGAATGACGTCGGCGTTCGAGCCACCCTGCGTGTATCCTGAGAGGGTTAGATTCAGATATTGCTGGATAGGGGTAATACATACCTTTGCAAAGCGACATACGGCAATCTGGAAGCCATCCTAGATGCCGCTGTGTATCGATCAATGAGCGAATTATGCGAGTGAGTGAAGCCGGATCGAAGATTGTGAGAAACGGCATCTGGGACCGGAACGAGTCCCACAGGCTGCAGAGATCAGCATTGAACAGATTATTCCGGGGTCACACTACATACCAGTAGAACGAGTCAAAGTAGGGCTCTGAGCTGTCCCACAACGGGTTCTCTCCTGTATAGTCTTGTGGGTTGACCATGGTCCGGTAGATCCCGCTGTAGAAATTGGTAAGCATACTTGAGTTGATGCCATTCCGCGACACACGGATCGGAGCCATCTTCTCCGTCCACATGTTCACAGCTGCAGTTTGAGTCTTGTTGAAGTCAAAGTCGGGGATTTCAGCTTCTGCATTTTGACATGCCTGGTCGCTGCTGATGAAGCTCAACCCCACCCGCGCATGGATCACATTGTCCGCGGACGAATTGAATCGGATAAAGGCACCACCCTGATAATTGTCAATATGACATACATGTTAATCGAGGCATACATTACGAACCGGCAGCGGGTATCCATTGATGCTCCGTGATATGGTAAGGTTTTTGACATCTACGCTGGCCCGTGCATCAACGAAGATGCCATTATCTCGGATATCACCCGCACCATGGTAGTCGGCGCAGAAGTACGGCACATAGGAGCCGCTTCCAAAGCTGGGAAGAAAGCGTGCATGGCCGGTCATGCGTCCTGTTGTAGGATCTACGGAAATAGTGCCATTGTCCTGGCGAGTATCCGACAAGTCGGACAGATCTAAGAGGATCAGTGGGCTTGACGGCTTGTCCACCGGAAATTGAAAGCGAAAAAGAGCCGTATGATGAGCGGTTGTCATGTCCACATGGATACCAGAGCTCATGTTTAGCCCGAAGTACCCGGGACTAGACTTGACCGATCCAGAGTCATAGGAGGTTGTCCGCTCCTTCTTGGGATAAGCGCAGCCATTCACATCGTCGTCTTTGCAGGTCACGTACGGGAAGAGAGGGAAAACACCCAAAGAGGGCTGCCCACCCGTCCCCGAATCATGCATGCTAGAGAATCCGGTAATACTACTGCCATCGTAGGCGAAGCCTCCCTGATTATTGACCGAGTCCGTATCGGCGACAGCCTTGGCCATGCCGTATGGGATCGTTGCGCCCGCGAAGACATTACCTGAACACCACGGCGGTCAGAATATTGCCCTAAACAAGCTATTACGGGGCAAACCTCGTGCATACCTCCATTAGCGCTTCCAATCAGAGGATTAATGTATTGTAGAACATCATAGTCGTCGACCGACGCGGAAGAGTTGGCGCAACCTGCAATGCAGGGGAGGGCTACGGACACAGCCAAATGCTTCCAATTTATCATGTCGGCGATAATTGATTGAGCAAGGGAATGACAGAAGCGAGTGACGGTCGTGGTATATGTTTACAAGATTAGACTGGTATGCTGACATGGCCATCAAGGGAGACAGGAATGAAACCATGTCCCCGCGAGAAGGAGGGGGGAAGGGGATTATCGCCGACATCCTCAAGCATGAAGAGCAAACTCATGCCCCTGATATAAATTATTGACAAGGGTTATCGCTGCAATGTAACCTTTTGTGGCTCCGTATGACCAGTCTGAAGCACGATGATCGTGCAGGCAAGCGTTTTTAGCGTCTCTCCCTGGCATGAAGCGGAAGGGTCATCTGTACAACAGAGAGGCCTGAGTCCCACGGGAAGCTGGGACTGTTGCTTTTTCTATCTACAGTAGCGTTACGAAGCATGATTGTGAACCAGCATAGCAATGTGATAGAGACAGCATGGTGGAGCAAGCTGATCGACGAGACGAAGGAAGAGGAAGAGCAGGAGAGAAGGCAGATAAGATGCGGAGGCGGAGTTATTGATCGGGAAGGATTGTCAGATTTACCGAATGGAAGGACAGACCATTTAAACCCAACTTACCCCTATATTTTATAAGGGGAATCTGGAAAGTGATTTCAGTTTCTCTCGCCATGAGGACTAGTACTGCCTCCTATCCCTCCCCGTCTCTTACAATGGACAAGAGGAAGATGCAAAAAGTCAATTGCAGGGCCCCTTGCAAGAGCAGCCGAGGTTCCAACGCAGTGCCGCCCCGCCCGACGCCAATCAACGGAGCCTCGACCGATTTTCACGATGCGGAAAACCATGGGACTTTCTCCTGGGAAAAGAACAGGGCGAGGGCAATTTGAATATTTCTGCTGGAACTGGTTTTGAATGGCGCCGCAAAAGCAAAGCAACATCGAGGCTCTGCTGATCTGATCGAGGGGCTCCTTTGCGCTTCAGCCCCCCAAGTCCATTCATTCCATTCGACTCTCCTTTTTCTGTTCTCCCTATAAGAAACCTAAGAAACCCTCTCGTTCCATCTCCAGTGTCAGAGAGTCCACAATCGTCGCCATGCCGCCGGTCCCAACAATGCTAGGCTCCACTACCATGGCCAGAGCTGTTGCTCATGCTCTGCCTCTGTCGCGTTTGCCTCCCACCCAATTTTCTGCTCTGTGCCGAGGCATCTCCCTATCCCAGCCTCTTGCACACAGAGTTTATTCCACTGCTTCTGCAGGTATGTATTCCCCTCTTCCTTGCACAACACTTTATGCTTTGAATAGCATTCAGACTATATAAAAGCACTCATACAAATCAAGTGCCCTAACTAATCAGAATCAAACTCACAGAGGCCGCATCCCTCCCCTCACAAGCACCTCCGACTCGCTCCCGCTTTCGCCGCTTCATTGGATTCACCACTCTAGCAGTCGTCGCCTTTACTGCTGGCTTGACCTACCAAACCTCCAAATCTGTGTCGCGCATGATGACGCTCAGTCTAGCTACCGACGAGGAGACTCTCTCCGCCTTCGTCCCTCACGATGAGTTCTCCAAGGAGGTCAACGACTATATCCGCAACCACCCTCTGGCCGTGTCGCTGCGCAACGATCCTGCTTTCACCGAGTCCCGCCCACACATGAAGATACCGGAGAAGCTGCGCGCGCGCACTCTCACAGGTGGCACCCTCGCTGGACCGGACAAGATCGTGGCTCCCCCGCTAGTGTTCTGTGAAGAGGGCGGAAAGAGCTTGGTCTCGATTTTCTACCTCGGACCCAACCTCTGCGGTCACCCGGGCATTGTGCACGGCGGATTGCTGGCCACATTGCTGGATGAGGCCATGGGACGCTGCTGCTTTCCTGCTCTGCCGAATAATGTGGGTGTGACCGCCAACTTGAACTTGGATTATCGCAAACCCGCCATGGCCGGCAACTATGCCGTTTTGCGGGCGGAGACTGTCAAGGTCGAGGGTCGGAAGGCCTGGGTGGAAGGTCGCATTGAGACGCTTCCCGAGGACGGAAAGGAACCGGTTGTGCTCGTGGAGGCCAAGGCCTTGTTTATTGAGCCCAAGCAGGCCGCGGTAGGTTCAGATGATCGAATCATGATGCAAGACGAGGCTAATCAGACATGCAGGCAATGTCGACTCTCTACAACATGACCAAGTAATTGGCACCCATCTGATTTCGATTTGATCTATAAATATTGGATAGTACTTCTTGAGTCATTGCGACTCGAACATTTACAGGCGTATAGATGGTTGGAGAGCCACATTTGGATTGTACATATAGATAACTTTTGCTTAGTATACTATACCTATTCTAGATTGTGAATTTTTATTTACAAACTCAGAGCACGAGAAGAAAAGGGTCATAGTAGCTGCCGTTGTGGCCTCACCATATAGGCGTTGGGCTACAGCCCAGGTTATGAAGACACCGTGGAGATGCTATAATCAATGTCGCACAGGCATCAACCTGACTAATGCATAACTTGTTATCGCATGGATATTCAGGTCCAGAGGATTGCGGATCCATGTTTACTTCCATTAGAGTTTCACGATCTGGAGGTTGCATTTGACGTCACACTCACGCCAGCTTGTGAACATCCCCCAAACAACACCAGCTTCTAACTACGAAGTATCAACATCCAGCATCATACTACTTCGACTGGCGCAACCATCCACGATGGCTCAAAGCATCACTATTGATCCCAATGACCTCCAGCCCCCGACAAGACACCCTCCGTCCTCTGTCGACCTTCCATCGAAGCTTCCCCCAGCCAAAGAAAGCAGGGTCCATCCCGCCAAACCAGGTGGGGAGAATGCGTCGATATACTTCGTTGGCACTGCCACGACGATCATGCGCGTGATCCTTCTCCAGATAATGAGATCGAGCCATGAACTAACAGAATGATGCAGACAATGGCATGGAATCCGCATCATGACTGATGTATGTACCACATGCACCGTTACAGGGAGTCTAGACAGACGCGGGAGATATCATAGGATGCTAACAAACTAGCTCAGCCCAACTTTCTTCACGCAGGAGACCACGTCCACCTCGGCCCTGGCGTATCCTCGACTCGAAGGACGAATCCGGCTGTAGACTTGGAAGAGCTACCGCGGATCGATTTGGTGCTTCTATCTCATTATCACGGGTAGACATCCATCTTCACATGAGATCGGACTGGAAAAGAAACAGGCTGATGAGCGAAACTGTAGCGATCACTTCGATCAGAAAGTCGAAGCCTCCCTTCGTCGCGACCTTCCCATCGTTACGACGCCCCATGCCAAATCCATTCTGACTTCTAAAGGAGAAGACTCGTTCACGAGAGTATCCAGCGTGGAGGTATACGAGCAGCTTACAGTCGATATCAAACACAACCAGAGTGACGCACAGCGACAGCAACGGCCCAAGCTTCGGATAACCGGTATGCCAGGGAAACATATCCCGGTTGGAAAGCCGTTAGAGAAGCTGAATGAGCTGGTTGGGGCGGTATGTCTCTTCCTCCACGTATGGTTTACTAGCTTGACAGACATTGATCAGTACGCCGAGATAGATCCCTCCTACAAACGGATGGATGCTCGAGCTAGGCTACGGTGATAACGACAACGACAACGCAAGCAGTTTCACCTCCGGTTATAGAATCTACATCTCAGGGGACACGCTCATGTTCGATGATCTCAAGGAGATTCCCCGTCGGTATGCAGGACAACCGATCGACCTGATGCTGGTCCATCTAGGTGGCACGACAGTACCCTCGCCGGCCATGTTGCCATTAGCAATGATGGTAACCATGGACGCGAAACAGGGAGTGGAACTGATCAAGTTGATTCGACCACAGGTGACTATCCCCATTCATTATGATGACTATGACGTGTTTGCAAGCTCGTTGGATGATTTCCGGGCGCAAGTGCAAGCCGCTGGGTTGAACGGGGAGGTTGTGTATCTGGACCGGGGAGATGAATATCAGTTTCGTGTGTCGTAGGATAAGAACAGTGAATGGATGGAAGGGATGGCAAGAGGCAAAAAAGAACTTAGTTCACATCTCAACCAGGGCTGACCACGGCATCGCACCCCGCCAATCAGCACCTCTCGATCTTAGTCGGACTCGTACATCCCGTCCAACCAGCGACATTCCCTTTTTCGCCATGGTGAGATATCGTAACCGACATTGAATGTTACTTTTTTACTTCCATTCAATAAGATCTTTGATGTGTTCATTCGACCTGTCAACGTAATCACCCCAGGTACATACCTCTCAAAAAGAGGTCTTGTCACACTACATCTGCAGTGAAAGACGGAAGTTTAAAATACAAAGAAAAAAAAAGGTACCCTTATGATGTCAGAGTGAACCGGTAGTAACCACCCATTACTACTATCCATCATCTGCTACATGACTTATAACTACTAAGTGAATAAAACAACCAACCATTGAATACAAAAAGAAAGACGTACTTACTTTCTTGCTCATAAGATCCCTCCCCCTTTCTCCCCCATCCTAACTCAGCCCATATAAAGTACCTTATCACCTCTGCAGATCATTCTCAACGTCTTAGACGTCATAGTGACTCCAATCAACCGTCTACTTGCCCCAATTCGATATCTCATCTCCATCCAATCCACTGGCACTGGCACTACTGGCTTCATATAAAAAAGAAAATAAAGGGCGGAATACGCCGCTGATCTTCGTCCCTTTCACTACCATTCAAACCAATCTAATCTATCAAAGATCAACATCTTCAAACTAAGAAGACCAGATCGATAGACAAACGAAGAAGAAAAAAGATGTCCTACAACAACAACAACAACAATTACCACCCCATCGCCTCAGCAGACAAAGTCCCAACCATCCACACAATCCATCCTATGAAACGCTCAACGTCTTACTCTCCCGCCGCCCAGGAGAGCGGCGACGAAGAGTACTACAAGCACCACATCAAGAAAGACAGCGCAAGCAGCACAGTAGCCTGTGGCAACGACCATAAAGTGAAAGCGGCGCTGACGGAGCTTCTCAACGACGATGGAGTGAGATCTAATGCGCGCGGAAGCAGATCGGTACAGAACTTGCTCATGGATACGGAGAAGGCGTTGAGGAAGCAGCGCAGGGAGTCGCTGTCGGGACGGGCTTCGATTTCGGTGGCGAAGTGAGGTGATATCAATGTCGAAATGGGGATTTATTCTTAATTATTTGGTGATGACATGATGAGTGAAATTGAGGGGGTTTTGCTTTGATTGTCGAACTGGTGGCTGGCTGCTTTGCGGTGTGTATCTGGCATGGTCGAGTCGGATTCTCCTCGTGCTGGTCTGGTCTGGTCTGGTCGGTACAAGAGGTGCGCGCTGTGTCGATGAGATGAGGGTCTAAGCTGCTTCTGATGATGTTGATGCTATGTGAGCCGGCTGCATATGGAGCTGTTTGGTTCAATATGGTTTCATGCAGGGTAGTAGGGCTGGAGGCTGGAGGTTAGAGGCACAGTTGACGCGCCGTTGCAGGAGCTGGAAACGATACATGTCTATTGGTGGCAGCACAGTACACATTACAGCCTTAAGGAGCAGTCGCATATGGTTTCTATGCCAGATATGTCAATTAAATTAATTCTTGTGTTTAAGCACAATATGAACTTACCAGTCTTGTGTTCTACAGCTGTAGAGAATAGTATAAGAGGCGGCGCGGCCTGTATACTACCAACTTACTAGCTTATAGTTAGTAGTAGGTGGCCTCTTCGATGCATAACACATCAACAACAGTAGTATAACCCTAAGTCATCAAGTCAGACAATTAATACCGTAATAGACAAAATCAAATAGCAACCCCTCCCTCATAGAGATAAGTATAACAACCCCCAAAATCAACATGTACCAATCAAACCCACCCAACGAAGCCAACCACCGCCGCCGACCGCCTCCGAGTGACGACCGACCGACCGACCGACCGCAATCGATCCTCCTCCGCACCAACAGCTCCAGCTCCAGTCCAACTCCAACCAACCTCCCCCCTTGACCTCTCTCTCTCCACAGCCCATCTTCCCTAACTACTTTCCCCGTCTGTACCGCCAGACCACATGCGTGGCACCCCCCTTACACCCAACTAGTTACTAATATCATATACCCCCACCGGCCACCATGTCCAAATCCACCAAGTACCTCCTCGTCTCCTTCCCCACGTCCATCACCCCCTCCCACCACCGCGACGACGCCCTCGACGCCATCTCCGCCACCGTCTCGTCCGAAAATGGCTCCGTTGCGCCGTTTCCCATCCCCGAGTTCAAAATCGGTACGCTCGATGCTCTGGTGCAGCAGGCCGACGAGCTGGCTAAGCTCGAGGCCGGCTGCCAGGGGGTGGTGGCCAAGGTTGGCGATGCGCTGAAGAATATTCTGGAGGGGGATGAGGCGCAGATTGATAAGATGAAGACGGTTAATGATAGTATGTTTTCACAGCATATGTTCTTGGGAAGTGTCGTGTTTTGTGTTGACGGGGTCATTTAGAACCGGTGGATCAGTACCTGCGCACGTTCTCGTGGAATAAGGTCAAGTATAGGGCTGATAAGCCGTTGGGGGAACTGATTGATTTGCTGCAGAAGGTGGGTTTATGCCAGTTATTCTGTATAAAGGATATGCTGACGAGTGAACAGGAAGCAGCGAGTATCGATAACGACATCCGCTCGAAATATACCCAGTATAATCAGGTGAAGAATACGTTGGCGACGTTGCAGCGGAAGCAGACGTGAGTTCATACTTTTACATACGCTCCATATCAGAAGGAGGACGTTGTCTGATCTGCTCTGCTATAGGGGCAACCTGTCCACCAAATCCCTCTCCTCGGTCGTCGACCCCCGCACCCTCGTCCGCGACTCCGAATACATCGAGACGCACCTCGTCGCTGTGCCCGCCCAGCAAGTCAAGGAGTTCCTGAAGATCTACGAGACCGTGGCGCCGATGGTGGTGCCGCGGTCGGCAACGCTGGTTGCCTCGGACGACGATTTCACACTGTACGCCGTCACGACGTTCAAGAAGCACAGCCTGGAGTTTGTGCACAAGTGCCGTGAGAACAAGTGGATTCCGCGCGACTTCAAGTACATTGAGGGAGGTAAGGAGGAGGAGCGGAAGGAGTTCGAGCGGGTGGGCGGTGATGAGCGCAAGCTCTGGGGAGAGACGCTCCGGCTGGGACGGACGGCGTGGAGTGAGGCCGTGATGGTCTGGATCCATGTGTATGTGCTGCGGGTGTTTGTGGAGACGGTGTTGCGGTATGGACTGCCGCTGGACTTTGTGTGCACATTGATCCGGGTGAGTTATTCATAACCATGTTGCTCTGACTGTGTTTGTTGCTAACTAGACCAGACTCCCGGAACGAAGCAGGCAGACAAAGCGAAGCGCAATCTGGACGACAAGTACTCGTACCTGGCGGGCAATGCGTTCGGGCGCGACAAGAAGGGCCGAGTGAAGCGCGACGACCCGGGCGAGATGCACGGCGAGGGCGGGCCGGAGTATACGGCATATGTGTATTATGAGTTTGAGTTCAACTAGCCAGCGGCCTTTGCTAGTTTGCACCATTGTTTTATGCTTGGATCTATTCTCTTCCTGTTTATATGTCTAGCGTACGTACATAGAAGTACTCATCAGCCCAGATCTAGCCCAGCCAGCCTAGCCACATTTAAGCACTACCAGTAAGCAGTGAAGCCCAAAAATCATATATACAACCAACAAATCTCTATCTATCATCTAGTATCTACTCTAACCCCCCAACCCCTCCAGGGAAATAATCTACTCCTTCTTAGCCGGCAAATACCCCTGCTCATCCAAATAGCGAATAATCTGCGCAACCGCCTCCTGCACCGGCACCTCATGATTCTTAACATGCACCTCAGGCTTCACCGGCGCCTCATACGGGGCACTAATACCGGTAAACTCCTTAATCACACCCTCCCTAGCCTTCTTATACAATCCCTTAGGGTCACGCTGCTCCGCCACCTCGACAGGCACATCAACATACACCTCAACGAACGGCAGACCGGTCTCCTCTCCGGGCGTGGGCACCTCATGCAACTGTCTCGCGGTGTCGCGGTCCTTGCGGTACGGCGAGATGAAAGAAGTAATGGCGATGGCGGAGGAGTCGGCAAACAGCTTCGCCACTTCGGCAATCCGTCGGATGTTCTCGTTCCGGTCGGCTTCGCTGAATCCCAGGTCCTTGTTGAGTCCGAAGCGGATGTTGTCGCCGTCCAGGCGGTAGGCGTGCACGCCACGGTCGCGGACCAGCTGGTGCTCGAGTTCAACGGCTAGTGTGGATTTGCCCGAGGCGGAGAGTCCGGTCAGCCAGATTGTGAGGCCGCGCTGGGAGCGGAGGGTGTTGCGCTCGGTGCGGGTGAGGCCGCTGGCGTGGTAGGTGATGTTGCTATTTGGGGTGTGGTTAGTTAAGATTGAGGGGAGGAGGGGGTGATGGGGGACGTACGTGGCCATTTTGGAGGGGGGCTGTGTGTATGGTATGGGTAATTGGGAGGAAGAGGAGGGTTTGGAGAGAGGAGGGAAGAGGAGGAGGGGTTGAAGTACGTAGAAAAAGGATTGGGAGAGAAAAGGGTGAAACAGCGGGGCGGGCGCCGATCGCGGGGTCGATTTCATTTGACGACTTGCACTTACGTACTCCTGCGTTTCCTTGGATGGGTTCCTGCCGGGAGAGGAGTCATTGGCTCGGAGCGATGGGCGACGTTACGTACCTCGCTTTAATGCCATGTGTCTAGAACGTTAATTGTTTTGGGGAAGGGGAATTGATTGATATTGATTATCTATCTAGGTCTTGTATGTCAGTTAGTCTACTGCTTGTCGGCCAATTCAATCACTCGCTTTGCTGCCGCTTCGAAACTGTCAAATGCCTCCAGTGGCAACCCACTTTCCGCGATCTATCCGGAACATTATTTAATTAGCTTTCGTCGATGATTAAGTGTCGGAAAAAGTTTAAGGAATCAAACTGACCATCTGCTGCCCACGCTCCTCGTTTGTCCCGCGCAGTCGCACCACCACGGGCACCGTCATCTCCATCTCCTGAAATGCGAGGATGATCCCTTCCGCGATCATGTCGCACCGTGTCAAGCCACCGAAGATGTTCACGAAGATCGCTTTCACGCGTCGGTCCGACGTGATGATCCGAAATGAGGACTTGACTGTCTCGGCCGTGGCTTTGCCGCCCGTGTCCAGGAAGTTCGCGCAGTGTCCGCCATGGATCGTCAGCGCGTCCACCGTGTTCATTGCCAGGCCCGCGCCGTTCACTACGAGGTCAGTGGGATGGTAACCTTGTAGATGTGGGGTTTGGGGGATGTACTTACCTAGGGTTCCGATGCTTCCTTCCCCTTCCAGTCTGTGCTCGGTCAGCGTAGGTTACACAGGGATGACTGGGGTGGCTTACTTGACGTAGACAATGCCATCTTTCTCGGCTTCGACTTCCTCGGGCACCTCTTCTGCCGGGTTTCTCAGTTGTTGTACGTCTTCCTGGCGTCCTGAGCTCCGAAAGGCAGCGTCATCGAACCCAAAGCGGGCATCGCGGACTTCAAAGGCACTTGTGGCGTTGGCGCGTACTTCCAGGAGGTACGCCTCCTTTTCCTTGAAAACCCGCCATAATCCCTGCAGCAGCTGCGCCAGGTTGTCGTGTGCCGTTGCGGGAAGCTGCAGGTGGGAGGCAACCGTTTCAACCAGGGGGTTTGTGCTGCTAAAGTCCGTGCCCTCGTATGCAAATGGGAACCGGCCCGTCTGTGCTGGTTCGAAGCCAGCGGATGTGGAGGCAAGAATACACGGCGACAAGGCTGTCCTATCAACGGTGAGGGACAAGAAGAAGTCCGATTCGGAGGGTGCAGCCTCGTTGACAGGGATTGATTCTTTTCTGAGCATATCGAGAGCCTGGAAAGGCTTAATGAAAAGACTTCTCGTTTGCTGGGGCTGAGAGACGCCGTAACGGTTTGGTCTGATGCGCCTCATTGTATGTAGACCTCGCCGCTGATCACCGCCGTTGATAGACTACTCCATGTAAGTAAGCTGTCGTGTTTCGCCGGTCACAAACGTACAGTAGTGCCCACGCGCCCGCGAGTTTGCAGAAGTGACTTCATTCCCTCTCCGAACTTCTCGGGATGGTTGACCATCATCACGCCGGCTCGTTCGAGCGCCTCATACTTGGCCTTCGCGCCAGGCTCCCCAATTGCTGTCCAAGCACCTGCGTGGCCCATGACCCGTCCAGGAGGAGCATGTAAGCCTCCAACGAGGGCCATTATCGGTCTGTACTTGTCAGCATTGCTTCCCAAGGGAACGATTTGACTCTTCCACATACTTGGGATTAGCAGTTCTCTGATTGTAGTCCTTGATCCACTCCGCTGCATCGATCTCTGCCGTACCACCAATCTCGCCAACCAGGATGATCCCCTCGGTGTCAGGGTCTTCTTCAAAGATCTTCAGTGCATCGACGAAATTAGTTCCAGCTAGGACATCTCCTCCCATACTAATACAGAGACTTTGTCCGAGGCCTGCCCGCGTTGTAGACGCAACAGTCTCGTAGCTCAGAGTCCCTGACTTCGCGACGATGCCAATATTGCCAGGTGCGAAGCAGGGCAGAGGCTGGAATCCGATCCGGCATT